TATGAGTCAGAACAGACTCAATGGCACTTAACAACAATATATATACACATGTATATATGGAGACAGAAAGAGAGAGAACTAATGTGGTGCTGTAGGATAAGCACTGGATTGCTAACCGAAAGGTCATTGGTTCAAACCCACCAGCTGCCATGGGTTGTAACAACTCGATGGCACTTAAGAACTAAACCATATAGATAGACAAATACATATAAAATTATTCAATCCATTCCACTTCACAACGTGCCTATAAATTACCAAAGCTGCGGTCCTCAACAATTTCCTTTGTTTTCTCAACTATTATAATTTCAGGTTAGAGCTTTCATTTTATTCCAATAATAGATGTGTATGTTTAAGTGTAGGAACCCAGGCAGGATAGTGGATTATGCATTGAACTGTTAAATCCAAGAGCAACGGGTGAATACAGCAACTCCACCACAGGAGAAAGATGAGTATTGTCTGCTCCCGTAAAGACTGACAGGCCCAGAAACTCTAGGGAGCAGTTCTACTCTGTCTTAAAGGATCACTATGAGTCAGAACTGATTCAAAGGCAGGGGGATTGGGTGGGTGCTTAGTGTAAGTCTGTGTGTATACATGATATTCCTTTTAGAAACTGACACAATTATAACAATATTATATTGTTTCAAAGTTGCTAATGGAATCGTGCTGATATTTGAAACCATCCAGAGAACAATATATGTTTAATTTTAAGGTTATTGTTGTTAGGTGCCGTCAAATCAGTTCCGACTCATAGCAACCCTAGGTACAACAGAATCAAACACTGTCCAGTCCCACGCCAACCTCACAATCGTTTTTACACTTGAGCCCTTTGCTGCAGCCACTGCGCCAATCAATCTCCGTAGGAGTCTCCTTCTTTGTCGTTGATGCTCTACTTCACCAAGTATGAATGATCTCCTTCTCCAAGGATTGGTCCTTCCTAATAATATGTCTGAAACATGAGAGACAGAATCTTCCTATCCTGATTTCTATGGAGCATTCTAGCTGTACTTCTTCTAATTTAGATTGATTTGTTCTTCTTGCAGTCCATGGTACTTCTAATGTTCCTCTCCAACATCATAACTCAAATGTATCAATTCTTATATGATCTTCCTTATTCATTGTCCAACTTCCACATGCATATGAGGCAAATGAAAACACCATGGCTTGAGTCAGGTCTACCTTAGTCCTCAAACTGACATCTTTGCTCCTGAAGACTTCAGAGGTCTTGTACAGCAGATTTGCCTAATGCAATGCATCATTTGATTTCTTGACTGCTGATTCCATGAGAGTTTTGATTGTGAATCCAAGTAATCTGAAGTCTTTGACAACTTCAATCTTTTTCCATTTATCATGATATCATTTATAGGTCCAGTAGTGAGAATTTTTGTTTTCTTCACATTGAGGTGCAACCGTACTGAAAGTTGTAATCTTCATCAGTAAGTGTTTTAAGTCCTCTTTGCTTTCAGCAAGCAAGGTTGTGTCAGCTGCGTATCACAGGTTGCTAATCAGTCTTCCTCCATGCCTGATGCTACTTTCTTCTTCATATAATCCAGCTTCTTGGATTATTTTCTCAACATACAGATCAAGTAAGTATGGTGAAAGAATACAACCCTGGTGTACATCTTTCTTAATTTTAAAACCATTCAGTGTTCCCTTGTTCTGTTTGAACAATTGCCTCTTGGTCTATGTACAGGCTCCTCATGAGCACAGTTATGTGTTCTGTAACACCTATTTGCAGTGTTGTCCATAGCTTGTCATGATCCACACAGTTGAAAGTCTTTGTGTAGTCAATAAAACACAAGTAAACATCTGTCTGATAGTCTCTCCTTTCAATCAAGATACACCTGACATCAGCAGCAATGATATCCCTCATTCCACATTCTCTTCTGAATCCAGCTTGAACCTCTGGCAGTTCACTCTCAATTTACTGTTGCAGCCATTTTTTAAATTATCGATAGCAAAAATTACTTGCATGTGATATTAAAGGTATTACCCAATTATTTACTCATTCTGTTGGGTCACCTCTTTGGATTGGGCACAATCAGTTGCTCAGGTAGTTGTCTTCCAAATTTCTTGGCATAGATGAGTGCCTCCAGTGCTGCATCAGTTTTTTTAAAGATTTAAATTTGTATTCCATCAATTCCCAGAGCCTTGTCCCTTACCAACTTGATGGCACTTAAGATGCCTTCAGTGTACCTTGGACTTCTTCCTTCAGATCTTTGAATTTGGATAATATGATATTTCTTGAAATGGTTGAACATCATCCATTTATTTTTGATATAGTGACTTTGTGTATTCCATCTATCTTGCTTTTTTTTAAGTTCTTATTATGAATTGAGTGATAGTTTACATGGAAGAACATCCTTCCATCTTCTTTTGATGCTTTCTCTATCATTCAAAGTTTTGCCGATAGAAGCCTTTACTATTTGAAGTTGAGGGTGGATGTTTTTCTTCAGTTTTTCAGATTGAGAAATGCTGTGGTTCTTCTCTTCTGGTTTTCTAAATCCAGGTCTTTGCACATTTCATTGTAATACTTGACTTGGTCTTCTTGGGCTGCCCTTTGAAATTTTTTTGTTCAGCTCTTTTATCTCCTCATTTCTTTCCTTAAAATCTACACGCTGGGGAGCAAGTTTCAGAGTCTCTTCTGACATCCATTTTGGTCTTTTCTTCTTTGTCTTCTTAATGACCTTTTGCTTTCTTCCTGTATTGTGTTCTTGATGTCATCCCACAACTCTTCTGGTCTTTGGAAATTAGTGTCTAATGCATCAAATTAGTTCTTGAGATGGTCTTTAAATTCAGGTGGGGTATGTTCAAGGTCACATTTTGGCTCTTGTGGTCTTGTTTTAAATTTCTTCACATTCAGCTTAAACTTGCATTATGAGCAATTGATGATCTGATTCACAATCTGCCCCTGGCCTTGTTTTGGCTGATTATACGGAGCTTTTCCATTATGTCTTTCTACATACGTGGTCAGTCTGATTTCTTTGTATCTCATCTAGTGAGGTTCATGTGTTGTTTACAAAAGGTATCTACACAGTCATTTGTCTTGCCAATTTCTATCATACGATCTCCAGTATCGTTTCTACCACCAAAGCTTTATTTTCCAGCTACTTATCCTTCCTCTTTGTTTCCACCCTTTGCATTCCAATCACCGGTAATTATCAATACATCTTGATTGCATGTTTGATCAATTTCAGACTGAAGAAGCTGGAAGAATTCTTCAATTTCATCATCATTGGCTTTAGTGATTAGTGCGTCAAATTGAGTAAGAGCAGTATAAACTGTTCTTCCTTATAGGTATACGGATATTATCCTATCACAGATAGTATTATACTTCAAGAGAGATCTTGAATTGTTGCTTTTGGTGATGAATGTGACACCATTCCTCTTCAATTTGTCATTCCCAGCATAGTAAACCATGTCAGATTCAGAACGACCAGCACTTGCCCATTTCTGCTCACTAGGATATCAAACTTTGTGCCTTTCATTTCATTTTTTGACAATTTGCAACTTTCCTGGATTCATACTTCATACACAGCCCATGTTCTGATAATTAATGGATGTTTGCAGCTGTTTCTTCTCATTCTGAGTCATGCCCCATCAGCAAATAAAGGTATTGAAAGCATTAATTTCCATCATCATGTTCAATTCTATTTGAAGAGGGAGCTCTTCCCCAGTCATATTTTGAGTGCATTCCAACTTGAGTGGATCATCTTCTAACAGTGTATCTGACAATTATCTGGTGCTGTTCACAATATTAGAATATACAAAATTCCTGTGCTAGCTGACAGTGTTCTATTGCTATTCATAAGGCTTTAAGAGGCTGCACATTCAGAAGTGTGCTTCTCCTTCTTACTAGTTTGTTTTTGTGTTGAGGCTCAGCTGAAACCTGTCCCATCAAGGGTGTTCCTGCTTGTATTTAAAATACAGGTAGCACAGAATTCCAATATCACAACAAGGTGCAAGTCACCACAGTACAACAAACTAACAGATGAGCTAACAAAAAGCACATGTCTTAGTTCAAAGTAGTGCAAACTGCAAGGTCAGTAGTTCGAAACTACCAGCTGTTCTGCGGGAGAAAAGATGAGCTTTCTGCTCCTGTAAAGATTTACAGCCATGGAAACCCTGTACAGGGTGGCTATGAGTCAGAACCGACTCCATGGCACATAACCATCACCACATAACCAATGAGAAATAAACAAAAGCCACATAGTATCTCATCAGTTCTGAAACACTGTGATCCTACAGGACTGAGTAGAACTTCTCCTTAGAGTTTCAGAGACTATAAATCTTTACAGTAGCAGACAGCCTCATCTTTCTCCCATGGTGCAAGTGATGGGTTTGAATTACTGACCTTGTGACTAGCAGTCCAATGCCTAACTCACTGTATTACCAAGGGAAAAGTTTAAACTTTATCATCTTCTACTAATCTATACAAATACTTGAATGGCAAAGTTTACATCTGTCATTAAAGTAAAATCACACCTACCTGTTCTCCATTTAAGCAGTGAACCTCTACCAACTCAAGAAAGATTGATAAACGATGGCTTGTATCAACTTCAATTTTTTGGCATTTAAATTTTGAGGAAGCAATATTTCTCCTTATTCCTGGTAAGCTCATTGCCATATGCAGAGTTTTAATTGCTTCTGCTATTTCTCCCATTTTCTTCTGTGACTGGGCTTTTACCAAATGATATAAAGGATATTGTCTCACCTGAAAAAATACATAGAAGTACTACTTTGGAGTGCTTTACATCAACATATATTTAAAATTCAAGCCAACAGTAAGATAAATAACATCTTTAAAAACACTCTGTGAATTAATACATGAGGTGTATATTTCTATCCTCATTAAATTTCTGATTATTTGTCATATTAAATAAGATTCAGGGGAACTGCCAATGCCAAGGATCTTCATAGATAAGAAAGATATTGATTAAGTACTTCTATGTTGACAGAAGAGAAAATGCAAACACATTTTGTCAGGCTAGTAAGTACTTTCTTAAAAGTTATTTGAGTGTTCAGATAAGGAACTTCTTGAAATTCTAATACTGATCTAAAGTTATTAGATTCCTAAAAGCAATTTTGTTTTCCATTTCTCATACTTTTAAGTTGTTAAATGATACGACATTTTAATCAAACATTAGTTTTACCCTTTTATTCTATTTCTAAATACGTGGAAATCAAGCTCCTGTCTTTATTTTGGCTATCGACAGGGTATGAAGAAAATTCATCAGCAGTTTCAAAGAGAATGACACAAAATAAAAAGCAGTTAAAAAAAAAAAGAAGTAAAAAGATTATTTGGAATGAGGTGATGTAGAGGAAGTTTGCAGTCTTCATAAAATGGCTATTTCTCTGTCTAAATATTAATACTGCCCCCCCCCAAAGATTTTAATTCATTGAGGTTAAGAGATGGAAATGAGTTATGATGTATCACCAGACTTGAAAATTACTGTACTAAGGCATTATTTTCTGCAAATCGTGCCTAAGCTTGAATTTTCCTTTGAGTTCCTTCAAAGATTCTTTCCTAACAAACCTCAAGACTGAATCGATGCTTAAGGTTGGGGAGTTTTTCTCCATGACTCTAGTCAGTCTTGGAAGCAGCAGATTCTGGATGTACCACATAAAATATCATGAATAAAAATCTAGAATGTCCTCAAACCACATAATGATTTCCAAAATGACAAGACATTTTTTGATGATAAATCTGAAAGAGGTTATTAAAAACCAAAGCCCAGGAAAGAAATAAGGCTATAAAATTGATTTTCCATACACAAAAAATTATTTGGTCTAATGACTTACAGCTTACAATCATTTTTTTTCATATATTATTGCATTTTAATTTTCACTTTAACCAGAGGGCATTATTACATGAATTTTATATAAAACTTGCTCAGAGAAAGAAGCCAGGTCTTTTATCCCCAGTCCATGCATTATTGTATGAATTTTATATAAAACTTGCTCAGAGAAAGAAGCCAGGTCTTTTATCCCCAGTCCATGCAGTGGGTTTTTTTTGGTTTTGTTTTTAACTGCATGACTGTTGCCCTATGTTTTTTCTATTGCTGTGTGTCCAAAACTTTTTTCCATTAAATACATTTATTGATAAAATATTACAGGATAAGATTTAAAATGATTGAGTATGTAAATATGTGTTTATAGTTCAAGAAGGTGCTCTGTATGTCTTACCCACTTCAGTCTGGAGTCCCTATTACCATCTAGTTGATTCTGACTCCGAGTGGCCCATAGGGTTTCCAATGCTGACCCATAGGGAGCGGCTGGTGGGTCCAAGCTGCCAACCTTTGGTTAACAGTCAAGCATTTAACTGCTGTGCCACCAGGGCTTCTGTCTCTCTTTTTAAAAACTTTTTATTGTGAATTGAGTGAAGGTTTATAGACAAGATCATCAGTTTTACATTCAACAAATTATACACTTTATTTCATCAAAATGATTGCAATCCCCTCTACACAATAACAATTATTCCACTTTCTCTCTGTGGTTCCTATATTCATTCCACCCTCTTTTTCCCTCACTTCTCAACTTTGTCCTTAGATAAGTGCTGCCCTTTTGATCTTGAATGATTGACCATTCCATGGTGAGCATAGCTTACTAGTGTTGTTGTCCCACTATATACCTATCTACTGCTTGGCTGAACTTGGCCCACGAGGGAGAATTCTGTTCCAGAACTGAAGGGTAGTTGAGGGCCATAGTCTCGGGTTCCTCCTGTCTCTTTCTGACCAGTAAACCCAGCATAATTTTTTTTAATAATTGTGTGTTTCTGACACTCTCTCTGGGACCTTCTAATATGATCCCCTTCAGAGCAGTTGCTGGTGGTAGCCAGGCACCAACTAGTTCTGGTTGCAGAGCTGTGGTGACTGATGTTCATCTGCTCCACTGGTTCACTGGGCTAGTTGATTCCAAGCATCTTCAATTTTCACCACTCTTTTCTTCTGCACATGGAAATGTCTAGAGTTGTACAACAGATGGCCACTCATTTGCTTTTAAGAGCCCAGCTGCTACTCACCAAAGTAGGATGTACAACATTGTCTCTATGGACTCTGTTCTGCCAATTAACCTTGGAGTCCCCTGAGACTATGGTCCTGAGCCCCAGGCCCAATAACTCATTGCACCAATGCTTCTTTCAATCTAGAGTGTAGTTGATAAGTTGGTCCCCACCCATAGTAACCCTGTATAGGGTTTCTAAGGAGCAGCTGGTGCATCTGAATCACCAACTGTGACGTTAGCAGTCCCATGCTTATCCTACAGTGCCACATCTGGAATTGTTGTTAAGTGTCACTGAATTGATTCTGACCCATAGAGACCCTGTATAGGGTTTCCAAGGGGCAGCTGGTGAGCTTGAACCGCCAACCTTGCAGTTCAAACAGTTTTGCAGTCTGGCGCATTAAACCACAGTGCCACACCAGGACTCCCTGGAGTACTCACCTTAAAATTATAGCTCAAACAAAGTTCAAGAGACTGCGAACACAATTTGAATTTTTCTTGAGACAAATACACTTGAGCCATCAGGAGATGAGCATCTGCATAAGAGGAATTGTGTTCCAAGCAATGCTGAAGGTTACTACAAGCTGCTTCAATATCACCTAGTGAGGGAAACAAAGCATTATTATTATTCAAATTGTTAAGAAACTGGAGATCAGAGAGAGGAACGATGAGATGATGTTTCTCTTCCAAATTTATGGGTATTTTTGGCATTTAAACTTTAAAGCCTCAGGGCTTTTTAGTTCCTCAAAGGTTCAACCTTCTTCACTAATGAAAAGGAGTCCTGGTATGGCACTGGAGGTTAATGCACTGGGCTGCAAAGCCAGTTTGAACCCCAATGTCTGGGTTCAAGCTCACCAGACTCTCCTTTGAAACCCTATGAGTTGGAACTGACTCAACAGCACTGAACAACGACATCTACTAAAAACAAAGATCCATTTAACAGCAATTTTTTTTCCTTGGAGGTAGAAGTTCTTGTTGTTCTTAAGTGGTTTAGAGTTGATTCTGACTCATAGAGACCCTCCACCATACGGTTTCCAAGGAGCAGCTGGTGGATTTCAACTATCAATCTTGTGATTCACAGTCCATTGCTGATGCTATAGTGCCACAAGTATTAAAGGAAAATAATTGGCTAGCATAGCACCATAACATATTACTTATAGTATCAAAGTTTGTTGATTCGATGACATTTTCTTTAAAAATTCATTTGAACCATGTTTATAGTAATTAAAAAAAAAAGAAAACAACTGTATAGTAAGATACACAATTTTAGATAAAAATTAAATATTTATGTTCAGATGTGCATTTTATATGAGTCTTGTTGTTGTTGTTAAGTGCCATCGAGTCGATTCAGATCCATGGAGACCCTGTATAGGGTTTTCCAAGGAACAGCTGGTGAGCTTGAACCACCGAACTTACAGTTCAAATGACTTTGCAATCTGAGGCATTAGCCCACAGCGCCACACCAGGTTAGGTGCTTAGTTTATTTATAGAGTTCTTGTGTGGTACTGTAGGATAAAGCACTGGACAACAAGGTCAGTTTGAACAACAGGTCGGTGGTTCAAATTCACCAGCCGTTCCTTGGAATGAGTTCTTTGACAGCACGAAAAACAAAAGTTTATTTACACCTGTTTTTGTCAACATCAGAACAAAACAGATAATTAAAAATTTTTAAGGCACACCTACCTGATAAATATTTCACTTTTGCTATTAGAAAAACAGCTTGCAAAAGACCTGGTACAGTTCTCACAATAGTCTCCAGGACTGAGGTACAACGTCTGAGAAATGGAGAAAGAGGTTGTCCAGGATTTGCAGGCTAAACAAAACAAATCAGCCAATCATTAAACAATATTTTTTTAATAGTATTTAGTTAAAAATACACATAGATTTTAGTGTGAAAAGTGCCAGACTGCAAATCCGTTTGAACTGCAAGGTCGGCAGTTCAAGCTCACCAGCTGCTTCTTGAAAACCCTACACAGGGTCACTATGGGTTGGAATCGACTCGATGGCACTTCACAACAACAACAATAGCAAAACTATGGGGAGTGCGATGGAGTTACACAACAAACACTAAACTGCAAAACACAAGGTCAGTGGTTCAAGCCCACCAGCTGCACTGTGGAAGAAAAGACGAGTCTTTCTGCTTCTACAAAGATTTGGATGCCTTGGACCACCACTATGGGGTTGCTAAAAGTTGGAACCAATTCATGGCACTCTACTACTACTAGCAAAACTATATATTTTTCTAAAATAACTCTTATTCTATTTATTGCTCAATAAATAATACACAAATAATCTAAAAAATATTAATTTATTTTCTCTATGTTCTATGAAAAAAAAACAAACCACAACTATGTAAATAGTAGCATCTGATTGTTGTTAAGTGTCTTTAAGTTGGTTTCCACTCATAGCAACCCTGTATAGGGTTTCCAAGGAGCGTCTGGTGGGTTGGAACCATCTACCTTGCGGTTAGCAGTTCAGTACTTATCCCACAGTGCCACGCCAGTACCCCATTATTAAATGTAGATCAGAGAAAATGCTAAACACTTTGCTTTTAGTATGAAGTATTTGAGAGTGTCCCTTATGCAATCCCTATGCTGAAATATGAGTTAGTAATAATAAAGTTTGGTGGTTTATCTGTTTACTATCTGTAACAAAGGCATGTTGGTTAATAGATCTGCATCATTTGTAAAGAGCTCTTGGGTAGTATGTTACATTACAATTTTTAAATGGAACCGAGGATATTCTGTTCTCAGTTCTATTAAAAAATTGTAATGTTCAGATGAAGCCTTGTGACTATCTCAGAGATAGATGCGGCAAAGACATTTGATAATTAGGATCAAAATTAGATATATGAGGGAGCTTCAAAAAGTTTGTAGAAAAATTTCATTATTTTTCAATTCCATTTTCCCACAAACTTTTGGAAGCCCCCTCATATGACAAACAGGATGAAAAGGAATGACTATTAAAAATTATGGGGTGATAAATATTGTATTAATACTATATACCAGGACTCTTAATGTGGCGTTGTGGGTTACTGTGTTGGACTGCAAAGTTGGTTTGAACCACATGGTCATTGGTTCAAGCTCACCAGCTGCTCCTTGGAAACCCTATACAGGGTTGCTATGCACCGGAATCCATTCAACAGCACTTAACAACAACAAATATTATAGGAGATAAAAATTTCACCCACTACTAATCTGTCAGCTTGTTGTATTATGGTGGCTTGTGTGCTGCTGTGATGCTGGAAGTATTTCAGAGGGATTTACCTACAATCCTACACTTGAGTCCAAAGATATAAGTAACAAATGTAAACACTTAGTTAACAGTTGTGGTGCCTTGAATTTACCTTCTATTGACTCTTCCATTCAAAATCTTCTTTATTTCCTACCAAGTGAATGCTTTGGTTGGTTGGTTAGTTATGTGCCATGGAGTCAGTTCCGACTCATAGCGACCCTGTACAGGGTTTCCGAGGCTGTACATCTTAACAGGAGCAGAAAGCCTCATCTTTCTCCCACAGAACAGCTGGTAGTTTCGAACTGCTGACCTTGCGGTTCGCAGCCTGATTTGTAACCACTACACTACCAGAGCTCAAGTGATTGGGTGGGAACATGCAAATAAGGCATACAGGACTATAAAGCTAAGATTGATTGGTTTTGCCTCAAGCTAGGTTTAAAGGAGCCATCTCAGAAGTAGTGGATCCCAGGAAGATCAAGAAGAGTGAAGCCTGAGAAACAGCAATGGGGAAAGACAGAGCAGCTTCTAGCTCTAGACCCAAGAACTGAGTAAAGCTGAGTGCCTATAAGCAGGATACTGGCTTGAAGAATGTGCCTTTGAGCATTCACAGAATGTGCTTTATTTATAACAGTTGTCCAACTGAGCAGGACAGAGGCCAACGGACCCCACGGCTGAGAGGCCAAACAAGCGTGAGGTGTGCCTGCAATAAACAAACAAGAGGCCTTCCTGATTGGAGAACTACTGCGTCCTGAGCTTTTTTGATCCTGAATTGTACCCAGTTTACTTCCCTAATAAACCCCATGATCGTGAGCACTATTACAATAAGTTCTGTGTGGCCACTGCACTGGATTATGGAACTCAGATGTGAAGCAGAGAGTTCTGTGGGAGGGAATGGATGGTGTCAGAATCAGAATAGGTCAAGGAAGGTTGTAGGGTGAAGCATATCTGACCTCTGCTTCAAAATGGGCCAAGGTATTCACATGGTGTTTGCAAACAGTTAATTGGAAAGAAATCAACAAGAATGTGACATCTAGAATAAGGGAGAAAATGTTTTAATCCATATCATGTAAACAAATTCATATTAGGAGTTGTTGTTGTTATTGTTATTAAGTGCCTGACTCACAACAACCCTGTATAGGGTTTCCAAGGAGTAGCCAGCAAGTTTGAACCACTGACATCACAGTTCAAACTGATGTTGCAGTCCAGTACATTAACCTGAAGCACCATACCAGAGCTCCCATTTTAGGAGTTGTTGTGTGCCGTCGATTCGCTTCCAACCCATAGTGACCCTATACAGGGTCCTACACAAGTCCCTGTACAAGGCCCACACCAGGACTATATTAGCAGTAGTGGGCCTAATAAGAGTCAGGTATAAAATAAAGGGTATCCTAAAGCTCACAACCAGGGTTATTAAAAGTATGTCACAGGGGAAAAAAAGTTGAAAACCTGGAGTTGTTCAGTAAGGAGAAAAAATTTATGGGAACATGAAAGTTTAGTGAGAAGAAAACAGTTTATTGGAAATCTAAAAGTCTGGTTTATAAATAATGAACGATCTTTTTGTTTTGGCTAACTGGATTTGCTATTCATCCCTCCAAAGAGAAGAAGAGTGACTAGTACATGGGGGACTTTTTAAAATATAGAATTTGACTAAATGTAGGAAATGCAGTCTTAATAATTATACAATAAGCTGAATGATAAGAACTCCGTATTTTCAAGGAGTCTGGAGTTCTGGTGTAGCACTGCAGGACAAGCACTAGACTGCTAACAAACCTCGGAAACCCTTTATAGGGTCACTATGAGTAGGTACTGACTCAAAGGCACTTATTAACAAGAGAGGTTAGAAAGGAGCTATGATGGCCATGCAGGATATGGAATGCCAACCACAAGGTCAGCAGTTTAAACTCATCAGGTACTCCATGGGAAAAAGACAAGGCTTTCTGCTCCCATAAAGATTTATAGCCTTGAAAACCTTACACAGGGTAGCTATGAGCCAGAAGCAACTCCACAGCAGTGGGTCTGGGGGAGGTTGGATGGGCACTTGGTGGGGATGCTATAGAGTAGATTCAAATATAAGGCAGGGTGATGAATTAGATGACTTCTCATGGTTCTTCTCCACTAAAGATTTAAAATTTCTATGAATTACAAACAGACATTTCTAACTCAATACACATATTATTTAAGAGCTGTTACTATGACAGATAATCTGATTAAAAATTATTTCACCTAAAATAGACATACATATAACTACTACCATTCAGGAGTCCAGGTGTGGCGCTGTGGGCTAATGCATCAGACTGTAAAGTCATTTGAACTGTAAGGTCAGTGGTTCAAGCTCACCATTTGCTCTTTGGAAACCCTATACAGGGTTGCTATGGGTTGGAATCGACTCAACAGCACTTAATTAACAACAACTACCATTCTACTATATCTATTTGTATCATTTGTAAAACATTCTGAAGATGCATTCCTGAAAATAAGTCCCAGAAGTATTACCTGCATTGGGCAGAAATTCAGATATTCTGTAATAATTTCTAGTAAGAAATCAGGATTTAACTTCTCAAAATACTGGATGCCAAGTGGTAAATCTTCCAAATGTGAAAAATGAATATCCAGGACATCATGTAATAAATTAGTAACTTCATCTTGCCGCTTATTTTTCTTCATTGCTAGAACTGCATGCAAATAAGTTAATTCCTGGAAAAAAAGTAGTTTTCATAAATTACTCATTCCACTTTAAAGCTTTTTTTTTTTTCCATTTAGTAACAAATGTATGTGACTTGCTATTTATGTGCGATTGTTTTTTCAGATTTAAGTATTAGCTTAGAATCCTTCAGCAGAATATTTAAAATCTAATTTTTCACAAAAGTAAAATAAGCATAACTTGATAGTTAAATTAATGTGTACTAAGCCATTTGAACTGCAAGGTCGGTAGTTCAAGCTCACCAGCTGCTCCTTGGAAACCCTATACAGGGTCACTATGGGTCGGAACCGACTCGACAGAATTTAACAACAACAAATCCTTTAAAGTCATTAGTAAATGATTTACATTTACGTATTTTATAAATAGTAGGTAAGACATCTTGTTAAAAATACTGTACCGCAGATTTTCCAATAGATTGCTGAATTTCACTAAGGAATTCTAGCTGCTGATCTGCATCCTGCACTTGCCCTTCCATTAGTTGACATCGGATAAATCCTAATACCAAGAAGACAAAAACAGTCAAGTCCACATTAACTCAGGTATGTACATTTCGAGCCAACACAAACAACATTCATAAAATGGACTTATTATCCATCACAACAAATATGTCTCAGGTTTAACAAAAAGAGAAGTAAAAGAATGAAAATAAAATGGGCAGCCTTGGAAATGAAAAATGAAATTTTAACATTAACTTTTTGAAGCACCCTAATATAGTATCATGGAGTCCTGGTGTGGTACTGTGGGCTAATGCGTCAGACTGCAAAGTCATTTGACCTGCAAGATCAGTGGTTCAAGCTCACCAGCTGCTCCTTGGAAACGCTATACAGAGTCACTATGGGTCGGAATCGACTCGACAGCACTTAACAACAACAACATAGTATCATAATTTACAGAAATTGCCTCACAATTTTTTTCTATTCTCAAAATATTACTTAAGAAGTAAAAGTTGTATTTTAAAAGACATGTAACTTTTTTTGTTGTGGATGTTATTGTTTTGAACCACCAAGCTAGCTGTTAGAATAGTAGAGAAAATTTGTCCTACTTAAGGCAGTTATTTATGACTAGTGAGGAGCCCTGATGGTGTGGTGGTGATAGTGCCCGGCTGCTAACAGGAAGGTCAGCTGCCCATGGGAGAAAGATAAGGCACTCTGCCTCTGGAATGATACAGCTTTGGGAAATGCATGGGCAATTTTAATCTGTCCTCTAGGGTTGCTGTGAGTTGGAACTGACTAGGCAGCAGTGGGCTTGGTTTTATTGATGACTAGCGTAGAAGAATTGATGCCTTTGAGTTATGGTGTTGGCGGAGAATATTGAAAGTGCCATGGGCTGCTAAAAGAACCAAAAGATCCATTTTGGAAGTGCAGCCAGAGTACTCCTTGGAGGCCACGATGGCCAAACTTCATCTCTCATACTTTGGACATATTGTCAGGAGGGACAAGTTACTGGAGAAGGATCTCATGTTTGGTAAGGTGGATGGTCAGAGAAAAAGAGGAAGACCCCCAGCGAGATGGATTAGCCAAGTGGCAGCATCGATGGACTCAAGCGTGACAACAATAGTGAGGTTGGCCCAGGACCAACCTCGTTCTGCTGAGCATAAGGTCACTATGAGTCGGTATTGACTTGATGGCACCTAACAACAACAAAGTAATATGCCCTACGAGTTAAAAGCCTATTTTACTTGAAATTCATTAAGCTACACAAATTTCAGTGTCTCTTCTTTATTGACATATATTGAAAGCAATTACTACTTGCATTTGTATTAAGCACATTCCTTGAAAGATGTGTCATACCAATTAGTGCAGAAACACTGGTCTCATCGAGTGTCATTGCAGTCTTATACCAGTGTAATGCTTCTTTCACTTTGCCTTGTAAAATCATTTGGTATCCAAGTTCTGTAGCAAATTCTGAATGATGAGGGGTTAAACTAAAAGCTTTTTCTAATAACATTTGAATCTTCTGAAGAATCAGTTGATTACGTCCACACTGAGGGAAAAAAATGCATTTTAAAGACTGAAGTCAAACATTTCTACTCAGATTATGGATTTTCTTTTAAATATATTTTTTTATTAGTACTTCACAGAAGTAGAGAAAACAAAAAGAAATAAAATTATTACACCAAGGCAGTTTATGTACTAACGATTTAAATATCCCCAGTATTAGTGCTTTTATAGAATAGCAAAATTTGAACGCTAATAATGTTGACATTGTTATGTGCTGTAGCGTCAGTTCTAATTCACAGTGAACTTGGACAGTGTTTCCAAGGAGCAGCTAGTGGGCTTGAATCACCAACCTGTGGTTTGCAGTCTAGTGCTTATCCTATAGTGCCACACTAGGACTCCAATAATACCATGGTACATGGTGCTACAGGAAAAGCACTTGGCTGCAAGGTCAAGTTGAACCTCAAGGTTGGCAGTTTAAACTCACCAGCCACTCCTCAGAAACCCTATACAGGGTCACTAATGGGTCAGAATTGACTTGGCAGTACTTAACATCAACACAAACATTTTTAGAACTCTTTTCAAACTGCCTGATTATTTTAAAAATTAGACATAAAAATTAAATCAAAACCCAGCACACTGTTAAAATAAATACATAGCTTTTGAATGTAACAACTTTTAAAAATAAAATATTTATATATTTGAATCTTTATAAGCTTATTTAAAGAACTAGCAATCAAAGGAATGTGTTTGGCAATAAGGGAAATAAAAAAGATAAATACTTTCCCTACTTCAAAATATTTTTAATTGCATGTATTTTTTCTACATTCTACATAATCTAACAATCTTTATTATTAAAACAGAATTTTCAGTTTTTTCATGTCATTTAATAAATAATATTGTGGCACTGTGGGTTAATGCGCTGGACTGCAAAGTTGGTTTGAAGCGTAATGTCAGCAGTTCAAGCTCACCAGCCACTCCTAGGAAACCCCACACAAGGTTGTTATGGTTCAGACCGACTGGATGGCACTTAACAACAACATTCTAGATTTCTTGTAATTTCATGTTTGCTAGTTACTTTAATTTTTCCTTAATTTTTTGTTAGTTTAACTTTTTAATCCATTTATTTTCTTATTAATTTTGAGTTTTAACTGTATTTTTCTATTCCATTTCTGGGAACCTTGTATTGGGTTGTAATACAACACTGGTTTACAATAAAAATTCATTTACTATTATATAAAATTAAGATACCAATAATTTCCCCCACCAAAACAGTCTATTACCTACCCACCTTCTTTTAAAAAACAAAGCAACAGGCAATTCTAGAACTATATTTTATGTTGATTGAAATAAACCATTCCTATTTCCTTTGCCTGGAATGTACTTTCAAATCTTTTAAGACTTAACAAGAATCACTTCCTCCAAGAAGCTTCCAAGTTAGCCTCTCATTGTTGGAAACCATCTCTCCTCTGAATTGCCATTCTTAAAAACTATCACTTATTTATACACACATTATATTTTTATTATAGGCCATACAGTCTTTCTGCCCTGACTTTTTTGACTTATTTTATATCCTTTGGTAGCGTAAGGGATTACAAATTGGCCTGCTAACCTCAGGGTAAGCAGTTCAAAACTACTAGCCGTTCTATGGGAGAAAGATAAGGCTTTCTGCTCTTATAAAGATTTACAGCCTCAGAAACCCCATATAGGGTCACTGTGAGTCAGAAATGACTCAGGGGCACACAACCACCACCACCATCACTACAGATGTATTCTATATAGCTCTTGAACATAGTAAGCACTCTTACAGTTCTGCTGAAGGCTATCGTGATCTTATAAAAAAGTTGAGCATTCTGTGGTTCCATGGCCTCCAGTGTACTTCCTAAGTTTTCCAGTTTGGAGATGGCCTAAAACAAACACAATCAATATAACTTTTAATGTACTAAGAAAAAAACAACACAATACATAAACACACTAATAAAATATATAATCATATGGGTAGACATTACTTACTATTATTTCTATGTAAAAAGGTCTTTGTTTTTACAGAACTCCTTTCTTCCAATGAAATCTTATACGCTCCTCATCCAGAGCAAAGAAGAATGAAGAAAATCAAAGATGCATGGAAAGTAGTCCAAAGGACTAATGGACCATAAGAACCTCAACTTCCATCTGAGTCCAGGAGAACTAGATGGTGCTCAGCTACCACTGCTGAGTGTTCTGAAAGGGGTCACACGAGAGGGCCCTACATAAAGTAAAAGGAAAACGTGGAATAAAACTCAAAAGACCAGGTTTACTGATCTGACAAGATACTGGTGGAAACTGCAGCCCTTAATCATTCTTCAGAACTGGAACTGAACTCACCTCCACGGCACAGCTTACAGCAGAACAGTCCTATAGGGTTAACACTAACCCAAAACCAAACCCAAAAGGCAGCATTTGCTCTGGGATAAAGCTCAGAAGGCAGGAATGGATAGGAAAGGACAAATGAAAATCATAAACACAGGAAGGAAATGCGAAGACTGCAGTTACATTCAATGCAATCAATGTCATGAAACTAAATGTGTATGAACTGTTGAGAGGACAACCAGTTTGCTCTGTAAATTTCCACTCAAATCACAATAAAAAACAAAACAAAGAAATCTTATATTCTAAAGATACACTACATGTTCTTTTGAGAAGCTCAATATAATATGTAAATAATTCTTATGTTTTAGAATGTTTCTTTAGTATTTGTTATTGAACAGAAACTTTTGAAGGGTAAAGATAATCATAATATTCAATTAACTGTGCAAGTCAAACTTCTCCTCCAATAATAAATTCATAACACATATGAGATATGAATAACACAGATTATGAAAATTAATATTATATGAGATTAGCTCTCTGACAAACTATAACCTGGTTTATAGTTCACAATAATATTTGTGAGAATAGAAAAACAATCTTAGTAGGGACCAATCTTCAGTAAAATTTAATGTCTGAAAATTTTTCTGAAGCTTTGCCTCTACTGAGTTTCTTCTATATTTAATGGAGTTCTAATTGTTAAGTGCTGTCGAGTTGGTTCTGACTCATAGCAACCCTGTATAGGGTTTCCAAGGAGCAGCTGGCGGGTTTTAACTGCCAACCTGTGGCTCGCAGGCCAGTGTTAATCCTACAGCGTCGCACTAGGAATCCAGAATACTACTTGTTGTTGTTGTTAAGTATCAAGTCGGTTACAATCCATAGTGAACTGGTACAGGGTTTCAGAGGAACAGCTGGTAAGCTTGAACCGTTGACCTTGTGGTTCAAACAGACTTTGCAGTCCTGCGTATTAAATCACAGCACCACACCAGGATTCCAGAGTACTAATTGTTGTTAAGTGCCATCGAGTCGATTCCCACCCATTGGAACCTTGTATAGGGTTTCCAAGGAGCAGCTGGTGAGCTTGAACCACCGATCTTGCTGTTCAAACTACTTTGCTGTCTGACACATTAGCCCACAGCACCATACCAGAACTCCAGATTACTAATTAGCCACTATCAAATTAACTGGAGGAGTGCTGTGTCTCTGTAGAATAAGCACTGGACTTCTAATCAAAAGGTCAGTAGTTCAAACCTACTAGCCACTCCTCAAAAACTCTACTTAGGGTTGCTGTAACTCAGAACTGATTCCAAGGCACTTAACAATGACAGCATGAAGTTAATGGGGCAGGATTAGGGGCAGGGTTCAATTTTCAGGATTAGGTTGCATTTTGAAATATAAAAGTGAGCAGATCTCTCTCTCTCGGGTCCTCGCTTCCAAGATGACAAAGAAAAGGAGGAACAATGGTCGTGCCAAAAAGGGCCGCAGTTGCATGAACTGCGCCCGCTGCGTGCCCAAAGACAAGGCCATTAAGAAGTTCATAATTCGAACCATAGTAGAGGCTGGAGCCGTCAGGGCTATTTCTGAAGCGAGTGTCTTCGATGCATACGTGCTTCTTCCCCAGCTGTACGTGAAACCGCATCATTGTGTGATCTGCACCATTCACAGGAAGGTGGTCAGGAACCTTCGTTCTCGTGAAACTCGGATGGACGGAACACCCCCACCCCGATTTAGTGCTGCCCCACGACCGCCACCAAAGCCCATGTAAAGAATTGAGCCCTTAAAAGGTTGCCATAAAACTAGCTTCCAACAAAAAAAAATAAAAATTACACTTTGTGGCATGATAAAAAAAAAAAAAAAAAAGTGAGCAGAGATCTACGGGCCCTCAGTACCATGAAGGAAGAAGGGTTGGGAGTGGAGCACATCCTTTGGGCCTAGGGTCCCTGTGTAAGAATATTCTAGACCCAGGATTAAACTGATGCCAAGACAGATGGAGACGGTCAAGAAACCCCAAGCCCACAGATGTGGAAAGGAGACAAGAACCTTCCTCCAGAGCTGACACAGAAAGAAAGCATTCCCCCAGGACTAGAACTCTGAATTCAGAATTTTAGCTTCCCAACAACAAAAAGGTGGAGGGTTGGACAAAAAGAGAAAGAACCCCAGTGAGATGGATTGGCCAAGTGGCAGCACGGATGTAACTCAAGCGTGGCAACAGTAGTGAGGTTGGCCCAGCACTGGGCAGTGTTTCGTTCTGCTGTGCATATGGTCGCTATGAGTCGGTACTGACTCAATGGCCCCTAACAACAACAACAACAAACAACAAACTGTGAAACAATCAATGTATGTCTGTTAAGCCTACCTACTTGTGGAATTTGTGATCGCAGCACAAAATAACTAAGACATGCATGTCCTCATCCGTACCCAATATCACTGCTTACATTAATCATATACATACTACAGCATAGGTGTTTTATAGAGTCATCTACACAGAACGTGATTTAAGGGACACTCAAGGGTAGTTTTAATTATATATTTTGATTTTACTAGTTAATTTAAGCTTTTGTTAAGGTTTATTTCTAATAGTTGTTGTTGTTATGTGCCATCGAGTCGGTTCCGACCCATAGCGACCCTGTATAGGGTTTCCGAGGGTGTAAATCTTTACGGGAGTAGAAAGCCTCATCTTTCTCCCACGGTGCAGCTGGTAGTTTCGAACCGCTGACCTTAAGGTTCGCAGCCCGATTCGTAACCACTACGCTACCAGAGCTCGATTAAAAACTATACATTCCAAAAGAGCATTTCAAGAATCTAACATATGTGTGTGTAACTGAATATGTTTTTAATAAAGGAACTTAAAGAAAACAATATACTTTCCCTCCTGGATGCCTGAGCATTTGCTGCCATCATGAAAGACACTGTACCTAAAACAGAAATTTTGGGAAAACTTGCCAAAATGCAAAAATGACACCAGATGTCATCTTTTATTTACATTCAGATACCATTTTGGTGGTGGTAAGACTGCAAGATATGGCCTATATATAAGAAGGAAAAGAAAAAAAAAAAAAACCTCATGATGCCAATGTTAGTACTGGTAACAAGAAGGAATAAAGATTCCGCTGTGACTTGATCTGTGATGAATGTGCGGATTTTTCCCCAGACATTCAATAAGCCATAAAATCTTTTTTAAAATGTACAACACAACTTACCTTTTCTATATCTCCCTCCCTACACAAATAGTAAAGAGCCAGCATTCTTAATGCATCCACATTTTGATTATCTTGTAGCATTAACCTGTAGAAAAATATTACAGTTAGTATAAAAGAAATCTTACCTTTTTAATTTGTAGGCTTGAAAAGTTGACTTGTTGGTTTGGCTGTCATTCTATTGTCCAAATAAATGACATTAAATTGTAAAATACCATCTGCTTTATGGAAATTGTCAACCTCACTGTTTACACTGAGGAAGAACATTTTAAAAGTAAGGTCCGGACATGACTAAAGATTTCTAACTAAAGTCTGAGCCTGTCCCAAGTGACACCATCTTGTAGCTTGGCACCTCTACAAAATGTGCATTGTACCCTTAACCTAGATATAAACAGCTTCGAGGTGTGATGCAGTATAAGCACTGGATTGCTAACCACAAGATCAGCAGTTCAAACCATATTTTGTCACCTTTGCATTTTCGCAAAGAAGGTAAATGCCTGCAAAAGGTGTTCAACAAAGATCCTGCCACTTGCATTTTAGAAATCTTATCCAATCAGAAAATACCCCAAATGTATTTCCTGTAGTTTTGGCCTTGTTAACCTCTGTAATTCTCAACTCCTTAAAAAAAGCACTTTTTCAAGAGCTTCTCAACTGTGCTTCCCACCAGTGTTGCAAAATGTTTGTTGACACTAATAGAACTGTTTATCATACCAAATAGCAAAGGAATTATCACAAACTATAGGGCTAATGTCAAAAGAACTTAGCACCAACTTGAAAAGGCTTCTAATGATCAGAGATGAGAAAACTCAAACAATTGTAATAATGGAAATGACTTGAAACACTGAAGTTTAAATTCACGTTATGGAAATAAATCAATCAACCCAAACTGCTATACTGTCACCACAGAAGGATGTTTTCAGTTTTTTTAAACATAGAAAATAAAGAAAAAGACTTAATCCTACTCTTCACTTTTATGACTTGTACCACAAGGTACAATTAGAATATAGGTTATCTATCAGAGATTGATGCACAATCTGAAAAAGATGCAAGTACTTTTCTTTAGTCTTAGGTATGAGGCCCTGCCCAAGTAATACTTTGAGTACACTTTGTCTCATAGAACTTAAAGATTTATGAAGCAATAACTTAATTCACTAAAAAAATGCATGATATATAGACAATTTTTTCATCTTTTACGAATGTCAAAAGAGTTTGAGCTATATGTGAAAATACCTCTGTCACAATGAATGGCAATTCAGCTAAGTTTGATTGAAAAAAACTAATTTTACTGGAATTTTAAAGCTAGAACCTGATGTTGCCCTTCTTTCTTTGTTCTATTGTATGGAGTCCTGGTGTGGTGCTGTGGGCTAATGTGTCAGACTGCAAAGTCGGTTGAGCTGCAAGGTCAGTAGTTCAAGCTCACCAGCTGCTCCTTGGAAACCCTATACAGGGTCGCTGTGGGTCAGAATCGACTTGGCGGTACTAATAACAACAACAACCACAAGGTAACCAAGCAGTAGATGAGAATTTTTCTCTATAGAAGTATTTCAGATCAGAAATGAAGAACAGACTTCAAATATAATGACATTGTAATTAATCTGTCATCTAGGAATTGAACATGAATGGCTGCTAAAATGGCACAGATAAAAACAAGCAGGCATTATGGGCCTCTGGTCAAAGATCACACCATTCCTCATAAAATGAAGGAGATTTTCTATGTAATTTATGCTTAGTTTGTATCTTGGAAAGATCCTGACTGATTTTTATATGATTTAAAAGCTTACTCTTATTGCTTAGCTAATATTTTCCTGTAATTTTAGATATTATTTAAATTCATTTATTAGTTAAAAAGTATCTATTTGTGAATCCTAACAGATTTATTCTCAGTCTCATGGCTTTACATGGCGTCTGTGTACCAGCATCTCTCAAGTAAATATTTATCCCAGCTCAGATCTCTCTGCAGAACTGACTGGCCACTCAGAAGTACATCTCTATCTTGATTTCTAGTAGGCATCTCAAACTCAGTATGTCCAAACCAAATTCCTGACCTGCCTTCCAAAACCTCCTCATTGCACAGTCTCTCCATTCAGTTAAAGTCAACCCCATACTTCTTAAACAGTGAAATGTTTAAAAGCAGACTGGGCCTGTGTGCTCTGGATTTAAATTCTAACTCCATCATAACAAAATGACTTAACCTCTTACACAGATAAACTACTTAACCTCTCTGTGCCTTTGTCTATTCATCTGTAAAATGGAGATACTAATAATACCCCTTAGGATTCTCAGTGGGATAAAACAGAACTTTCTAGGTGCCTTGTAGAACCCTAGTGGCTGCTAACATAAAGGTTAGGAATTTGAAACCATCAGCCGCTCCTCAAAAGAAAGACATGATAATATTAATATGCTTCTATAAAGATTTACTCTTAAAAACCCTGTGGGGCACCTCTAGTCTCTCTCCTAGGGTCGTGACAAGTTGGAATGGACTTGACAGCACTGGAAAAGGCACGTGCCTGGCACTGTACTAAGCACTTTACAATACTTCATGATGATTATTGTTGGACCAGAATTGTTGGTGTTCTAGTTGTTTAAGCCAAAAACTTTGGAACTGCCCTCTTTTTTCTCTCATCCATCTCATCAAAACATACCCAGATTTCACCATCCTGATGCCTGCCACTAACATTCCTCATTTAGATTACTACCACAGCTTGCAAAATCATCTCCCTGTTTCTGCCATTATCCCCTTCCACTTAGCCTGTTCTCAACTCATAGCAGAGTAAAGCTTTTAAAAAATATGCCATGCTACTTCTCTGCTCAGAATGGCTTCCCACTTCAAAAGAAAACCCAAAATCCTTACATTGGCTGACCAGAGTACTCATAACCTGGCATCATCTCTCCCTCCCACCCTTCTCCCTGACCTCACTGTTCACTCATGCCTCTCTTTACTTCTCTCCTTTCCTTCACATGGCACATAGACTTGCCTCAACGTCTCCATACTTGCTCTGCTTCTTTCTGAAGATGTCTGCACAGCTTACTCCCTACCATCCTCAGGTTTTTGTTCCAATTTTCTCAGTGAGGCCTTCCCTAACTAGACCCCAAAACTGAACCCTTGAACTCCCTATATCTCACTGTCCTGCTTTATTTTTTTTTTCCATACTACTAACAACTTTATAAAATACTACGTGATTCACCTACTTGTGTTGCTTCTTATAATGTTCCTCTCACTTCAATATAAGATTCAAGTTAGCAGGGATATTGGTCTCTTTGCCTAAAACAGTGTCTGCCTTATAATGGGTATTTGGATATTTATGTAAATCAATCAATTCATATTGTAAAAGCAATGCCAAGTTAAGAATTATTCCTTAGTCCTATACTGCTTTGAAAAATTAAAATTTAAAACTCTTACAACAAAAAAGCACGTATAAATTTCTTTGTCAAAATTGTAACTAGTGTTTCTAAAGATACTGACATATATACATTTTTTTTTTTTCAGGTTAACCTTTGTGCTGTCTCAACTGTCTGGTCCCAATCCTGCAAGGCTAGTTGCAATTTCATTTTCTTTACAAAAGCAGGGAGGAAGCTTGGAAAGTTCACAATTATCTGGTTTATAGTCTCCAAAGCACCTGAATAATTCTGACGCATCTCAAGGCATTGTGCCTATAGAGAGAAAAAAGAAATGACATCAAAATTGTGATCACCTACACCAAGATCCTCACAACAGTCATCCCTCAGTCGGTAGAATTGCTAGTGCTTAACACCTTCTATATTTTTGTTTTTGTTTTTTTACTTTTCCATAATGAACAGTTACCACTTTTATATTATGAAAATACAAAGTAAGCTTTTATTGAAACAAAAATTGGAAACATTTTAGAAGTAAAAAATATTTTATAAAAGCAATTGCACTTAAAATTTCACTTTTAAATAACTGAGAAATATAAATACAAGATAAAATATAAGAAAATATTTTTAGAAACACTATCTAGCAAAAAAAAAATTGACTCATTTTTTTAGAATAAAATATTTTTAGGACAGTAGCAAATATCTTCTAAAACTAAAGAATTTTATACCTTTTTCTTTTTTAAAAAAACTTATATCCAGATTATAGAAGATATGATTTTAAAGAGCAAGCTCAACCTCCCTCTACCTCAACAATTTCACTTCTAGGAATTTGCCTTATGAAAATAGTAGGATTAAGATCACAAAGATGATATTTAAGATAGAATTATTATTCATTTGTAATAGAAAAAAAAAAACATAACTCAAAATGAGCATAAAGCATTAGTTAAATTATAGCATATTGACTTAATAGAATTTAAGGTGCCTATCAGGCAGTTTTTTGTTCTGTTGTGCATAGGGCAGCTATGAATTGGTTCCAAATCAATGGCACCTAACAACACTAAAAGTAGCATTGTTGTTGTTGTTGTTATGTGTTGTGGAGTCGGTTCCGACTCATAGCGACCCTGTACAGGGTTTCCGAGGCTGTAAATCTTTACAGGAACAGAAAGTCTCATCTTTCTCCCACGGAACAGCTAGTAGTTTCCAACTACTGACCATGAGATTAGCAGCCCTATTCATAACCACTACGCTATTGGGCTGCTAACCACAAGGTCAACAGTTCAAAACTACCAACTGTTCCACAGGAGAAAGATGAGGTTTTCTGCTCCTGTAAAGATTGACAGCCTTGGACATTCTGTATAGAGTCGCTATGAGTAGGAACTGACGCCATGGCACATCACCATCACCACCACTAAAAATAAGCATGTAGATTTTTACATTATTATCTATATTTATTGTCATGAAGAGATGTTATGTCTAGTTATCTCTAGAGAGGGCTATTTATTTTCTCACTCAGCTACTACTGTATTTTCTAAATGCTTTTGATTTACAATATCCATGTATAACTTTTCATAATAAAAAAATAAAACTACAAATAATCACTCATATTGTTGTTGTTGTTAAGTACTGTGGAGTTGGATTCTGACTCATAGTGACCCTGCACAGGGTTTCCGAAGCTGTAAATCTTTACAGGAGCAGAAAACCTCAACTTTCTCCCGTGGAAAGGCTGGTAGTTTCGAACTGCAGACCTTGAGGTTAGCAGCCCTATTCGTAACCACTACGAGTGTTTTTTAAAAAAAAAAAAAAATGTGCACATTTATCACACAGTAGGAGTCCTGGTAGTGTGCTATAGGATCAGCACTGGATTATTAACCACAAGGTTCAAACCCACCAGCTGCTCCTTGGAAACCTTATACGGGGTTGTAACAACAACAATGACTCAATGGTACTTAACAACAACAACAATCACAAATTAGATTTTTAAAAATTTGTTTTGGGTTATCTTTTAGGAATAAATTTAGTCCTATTATGGTGGTGGTTATGTGCCATAGAGTCAGTTCCAGCTCATAGCGACCCTGTACAGGGTTTCCGAGGCTGTAAATCTTTATGGGAGCAGAAAGCCTCATCTTTCTCCCACGGAACAGCTGGTAGTTTCGAACTGCTAACCTTAGGGTTCACAGCCCAATTCGTAACCCCTACGCTACCAGAGTTCCTTAGTTCTATTATAGCTTGGTGAAAAATGACCATCCACTACCAGTAGATCTATGGTAAACCTGTAATCTATTCCTAAAATCAAATTAAGGTTATAGTCTCATTAGATTAAAGGAAAGTATGAGAATCACCTAAAGATGTTCACTGAGTTTGTCAAAGTAAATTATTACTATTTAAGTTTCTAAATAGTTGACAATTAATAGAAAAGAGATAAACACAGACAATGTTTTCAAATTATATTTGTCCTTAAAACATGCCTAAATAGTTGGTACTGCAAAATAGGAAAGCTACGTTATAAAATCCTGATGTGTGTCTACATCTCATGTTCTGTTTAAATTGTCATTTCCCATTTGAATTTAGAATACAAGATTGTTAGGTTGGATTGAGACTAATGGAGCCCTCCTCATGAATTGACTGAAAAATAAATGAGAATAAATACTTCATTGGAATGTTGATATCACCTGAAACAGCCCAGCCCTGGATGATTATCAGCTGGCTTTTCTCTAGAGCCGGAGATCAAGAAAAATTTCTAGAAGGGTCATGAAAAACATCTCAAAAAAAAAAAAAAGTCAAATGCCCAATTCCTATAACAGTGACATTAGGTAAAACTTGAATCCTATCAGCCTGAATGCCAGTCAGACTCATGAAATAAACTAACAGAAATTGACAGAAAGAGTGATATGGGCACACTAACAGTAGCCAAAACACTAATCCTCTCTGTTCTCATTTACAGTTGTCTCAAATCAGTACTTAGCTAATACACAAGTTTTGTTTTATTTTTTAACATAACATTTTAATTTCTTCTTGGGTATCAAAAATACCACCTCCAAAAAAAGAAAAAAATTGAAGGCATTCAGAAGGCAGCAAAAAAAGGATTCTAAAAAGGGTTTGGATTAAATATTTCCACCCATCAATGATTTTTTAATGACCGTCAATTAATTGATCCTCTCGTATAAAGTAAGCCAGATCATGTTATTTCTTTGCTCAGAATTTAACAGCGGCTCCCCATCTCATTAAAATAAGTCAAAGGCTTTACAGAATCCACCCAGTCTCTCACTTCCCCATACCCACCTGCTGCTTCTTTCTAACTTCCAATCCACTCAGGTCTGCATTCCTTCCACCTTAGCCTCCTGGCCTTCTTGCTTAACCCTTGAACAGGTCTTAAGGCACTCGTCCTTATTATTTCTTCTGTCTGCAGTGGTTTCCCCAGATGTCCACATCTCCTATGCCTTTGCTCAAATGTCACTTTTTCTGTGCACCTCATTAAAAATTCCAAGTTGATACTTAGCGCTTCCCCCACCCCCTTCTGGCTTTACTTTTCCATTGCACTTATCACCTTCGAATATGTAACATACAGTAGGCCCTTGAACAACATGGGTTTGGGTTTGCATTGAGGGAGGAGGGCACTTATAAACGGATTTTTTTCCCTGTTGCTATGGCTATGAGTTTAAGTGCTGCAGGTATTTGCTTAAAATGCCGTAATCTCTGCATGAGTAGTTCACCTCTCCAGGAGTCTTAAACAGACACTTGAAACACTTGAGCTCACCGCAGTAGTGTAGTTCAAACCTGTGATGTTCAAGGGTCAGCTGTAAATTATACATGATTGCCAACTGAGTAGGAACTTGGCACCCTTAACTCATGTGTTGTTCAAGATTCAAATGTACTTATTTTATTTATTATCTATCTCTACCCACTCCATAAAAACAGAAGGCTTTGTTTTGTTTAGGGTATTCCTAGTGCCTAGAGTGATGCAAGACATATGTAAAGCACACAATAAATGTTTTCTGAGGAGAGAGTGAATTGACCAACAAAATAAATAAACAAATAAATAAAACTCAATCAGGACTGCGAGCTATTATGGTATAAATTTCTCTAGTTTATTATTCTTTATATCTTACACAAATGCAAGTCCCTCAGTTGAGAGATGACAATAGTACCATGAAAATAATTATCTTCTCTGAGCCACTTTAATTGTGTTGGGTGTCAGCTATATTATGAATACATTTCTAACATGATTTATTTACCTTAACTCCAACTTACCTTACCCAGGAGAGCAAAAATATCATTTCCATGTTGTAATCCCTCTTCAAAATACCGTAATGCTTTTTTAGCATAAGGTTCTTTTCCTCTTGTAATATCAAGCCATGCTCTTAAAACCTGTCCCTATGAAATAACAATTTCTAGTCACAGTTCTACTTGTTAAATGAAGAAAAAAAAAGTTGGTAAAGGAAGTTAATTAACCTAATGCCATTCTTTTATAATTAATAACAAAATGTGCTCTGTTAAATTTTGAACAACAAAATTCTGCACAGTGAAACAGTTTTTAATCCTTAACAGTACTGGATACTACATTATGAATTTCAGGTTTAAAGACAATTTCTTTGCTCAGCGCTTATTGAGAAGCAAGTCACACATTCTATTAGTGCTAAAACTGATACTAAGTCAATAAATGAGTAATACATAAATGAGTATTAAGAATCAAATTAAATATAAACATCTGTGCCTAGCAGTCAAGTTCCTTCAATTGGTCCCGACCCATCTTCTCCAATTCTCTTCATCTCTATATCCTGGTCTCCAGTCAAATTTGAGGTTCTTACCTTAAAACCAACATGTTTCCTATTTTCCTCATTTCTATCTAGTATTTCCCACTTTAAGACTATCTATTTCTCTTCTCCATAATCTCTGACTACCAAAATATTATTCACCTTTCAGATTTTCCCTCAATACTACTTTCTTCAAGACATTCTTTCTCATCTTCCTAACACTTATATATGTGATCTCTCCTTAAGTACTAAAAATAGCACAAAGAGAGCAATAACTGTTATTTTCTCAAGCATTTTAATTACAGCGCTCTCATATCATTCGTAATTTTTCATTACAATAACAGATATGCATACGCTGTGCTGCTACTTGACTATTTATGAAATGAGAATTTACATATTCCCTAAAAACCCACTGCCATTGAGTCGATTCTGACTCACAGCTATTCTACGTAAAGTTTCCAAAACTGTAAACCTTTAAGGGAGCGGACAACCTCATCCTTCTCCATTGCAGTGGATGGTGGGTTTGAGCCGCTGACCACAGTGCCCCCAGGGATCCTTTCTATAGTCCCTATCTTTGTATCCTCATCAGTACAAATAACAGAGCCTTGTAAAGAAAGCTATTCAATAAGGAGAGATGGAAGGAAAAGAGAAAGGAAGGGAAGAATCATATGAGGGAGGGATCCTTTTCAGAGTTAACAAATAGTTTAAAATAAACAGCCTACCAAAGACCAAAAACAAAACCCACTGCTATCAACTTCATATTATTAAAAAATCTTATTTTTAATAATTTTCAATATTGTTGTTGTTGCTAAGTGTTATCATGTCATAGCGACCCTGTCTAGGCCTTCTGAGGAACAGCTGGTGGGTTTGAACTGCTGACCTTCTGGTTCAAGCCAACCTTGGGTTCAGTGCATTATCCTGCAGCACCACACCAGGACTCCATTTTCAATGTAATGAAATATCAAAATGAAGCTTCCATTTAGAAAGTGTAAATAGATTGAGTAATAACAAAAAATTTAAGTAGCAGATACTAGTGAGCATATAAATAATATAGGCTTCTTTTCGTGTTATGATTTCAAATTAAGAAAACCAGTTACCTCTTTATCACCACTTGACATTTTGATCATTCTGTCAATATATTCTCTAGCTTTCTCGTGACGACCAATGTGCCACAGAAACAGACCTGCATGATACAAAGCCTTCTGTCCAGCTCCTCTGCGCTGCTCCTTCACTCTGGCATCAGATTCCAGAATAGCTTCTCTATCTTGGAGGAGAAAAAAGCATCAAAGAAAAATTAAATTCTAGACCAATGCTTACAAAAGGTCGGATGATTATCAGGGCAGAGAATTTTGTTCTTCTCTCCACAGCAGCATTAAGAGAAATGAAATACAAACCATATACGTAATTTTGAAATTTCTAATAGTTACATTCCAAAAAGGAAAAAGAAACAGGCATAATTAATTTTAATATTTTAAGCAATACACTTCCGACAATCAGTTCAGTGGTTCAAACCCACCATCTGCTCTTTGGAACCCCTATACAGGGTCACTATAAATGGGAACCAACTTGCTGGCATTTAACAACAACAAAATATCCGATTTTTTATCATTTTAATACATAGTTAAAATATGAATGAAGTAACTTTCATTTTTCCCTTGCTAACTCTTTGAAATCTGGTATGTATGGTACACTTACAGCCCATCTCAATTCCTATGCTATATTGTCATCACAAATACTGGACCTGTACTTGTTGTTGTTGTTAAGTGCCATCAAGTTGGTTCCAACCCAAACCCTATATAGGGTTTCCAAAGGTGCTCTGGTAGCGTAGTGGTTACGAATTGGGCTGCGAACCTTAAGGTCAGCGGTTCGAAACTACCAGCCGCTCCGCGGGAGAAAGATGAGGCTTTCTACTCCCGTAAAGATTTACACCCTCGGAAACCCTGTTCAGGGTCGTTATGGGTCGGAACCGACTCGATGGCACTTAACAACAACAACAACAAGAAGTGGTTGGTGGGTTTGAAGTGCTGACCTTGCAGTTCAAACAGACCTTGTGATCAAGTGCTTATTCTACAGCGTGACACCTTGATTTAATAAAATTTACAATTGAAACAGAGATTCACATATTCAAGTTGCTCCAAAAATAACTAAATCAAGCACCAACTTTAAAGATAAGTGCAAATGAAATAAAATTTCAAATTCATCAAACTATCCAAATTTCAAGTGCTCAGCAGTCACATGTAGTTTACCGCCACTGTGAAAGACAGTTCTATATTTTACGCCTTTCCCTAAACCTAAAGACCATGTAAGGGGGTTTCAAAAACTTGGTGGAAAAATGTAATTAAAAGATAATGAATTTTTCCACGAACTTTTTGAAGACCCTTTATATATACCAATTATTTCTAGGAGCTAAAATGAGGCTGCTACAAGGAGAGTATGGAAGACTAGTACTCAAATTACACAACTTGCAAATCCAATTCTAAAATGTGCAAATATGCCAGGTTTTATACACACGTGAAAAGGTAGTATCATTACTGTTTACCTAGGTAGATCAAAACGGACTGCTCAGTTGATCTTTTAAAATAGATGGCCTACTTCTCAGACAACCAATCACTTCTATTAAACATTTTTTTACATCTAAGTATCCGATTAGGACACAAATGTCCAATGTTTGTCACACTAAAAAAAAAACTATCCTGAGCATTTCTGACCCTGAACTGTCCACCTTGTTAATTTCCCTAATAAACCCCGTAACTGTGAGTATGGTGTCTGAGTTCTGTGTGGCCACTGCAATGCATTATGGAACCTAGCTGAGGGCTGTGGGAGGGATGGTTGGTAACATGTTTTACAATTTAATATGCCATGAGAGGAATGGTTGGTGTTATTTTTTTTCTAGTTTATTTATGCACAATATTTCTTGTGTAATTTCTCAAACCATTATTAGATAAAAATCTAAGTATTCCAAGAGTTAGCTCACAAGGGGATGTAAAGATCTTTAAGAAGCTTAAAACACAGTACAAGAGATAAAGTGCACATATTTGTACATAATAAGTGTGTTGTTGTTATTGTTAAGTGCTATCGATTCAGTCGTGACTTACTACGGCCCTGTATAGAGTTTCCGAGGAGCAGTTGGTGTGTTTGAACTGCTGACCTTGTGATTCACAGTCCAGCGCTGTTCCTACAGCACCACACCAGGAGCTCCTAATAAATGTTGTTGTTAAGTGTCGTCAAGTCGGTTCCGACCCATAGCGACCCTGTACAGGGTTTCTGAGGAGCAGCTGGTGAGTTTTAACGGCCGACCTTGCAGTTCAAACAGCTTTGCAGTCTGGCGCATTAAACCACAGCACCACACCAGGACTCCTAACAAGTGTAATATTTCTAATAAAAGCTGGCTACTGCAGAGGACTTAAAATACTTACTGATGAAGATCAAAGAGCATAGCTTTTGCTATGGGTTGCATCTCAATGTAAAAAAAAAAAAAAACAACAAAAATCCTCACCACTGGACCAATAAACAACATCCATATAAATGGAGAAAAGATTAAGTTGCCAAAGATTTCATTTTACTCAGATCTACCATCAATACTCATGGAAGTAGCAGTTAAGAAATCAAACGACCTACTGCATTAGGCAAATATGCTGCACAAGACCTCTTTAAAGTGTTCAAGAGGAAAGATTTCAGTTTAAGGACTAAGGTGTGCCTGGTCCAAGCTATGGTATTTTCAATAACATCATATGCATGTGAAAGTTGGACAGTGAATAATGAAGACCGCAGAAGAATTGACACATATGAGTTATACTGTTGGAGGAGAATACAGAAAGCACCATAGACTGCCAAAATAACAAACCAATCTGTGTTGGAAGAAGTATAGCTGGAATTCTCCTTGGAAGCCAGGATGGTCATACTTGGTTTCTCATATTTTGGACATATTATCAGGAGGGGCCAGTGCCTGGAGAAGGATATCACACTGGGTAAAATGGAGGGTCAAAGAAAAAGAAGAAGACCCCCCAAACAAGATGGACTGGCACAGTGGCAGCAGAAATGGGCGCAAACATGGCAAGGATTGTGAGGTTGGTGCAGAACCAGGCAGTGTTTTATTCTGTTGAGCATAGGGTCGCTATGGGTTGGCACTAATTAGATGGCACTTAACAACAACAACAACAACAACTGCAAAGTAGTTTCTGTATATGCCTGTGTTTTGACTGGCCTTGAATAACAATCATTAACAGATACTCACCTTTTGGTGAACTCAAATAATTCCTAATAAAACCTGTGCCATATGATGTAAACAATATTAAAGTAGTGGCAGATATATATTCCTTGTACTTAATGAACTCACCAACTTCCTAAGCCTTGTCAGGAAAATAAGACATATACAACAAGGTTTCAAAAAGTTAGTGAAGAAATGGAATTAAAGTATAATGGAAGTTTTTCACAAACTTTTTAAAGCCTTCTCAAATGATATAAATAATATCTATGTTATTGTTGCCACCTAGCCAATCCATCTCGTTGGGGTCTTCCTCTTTTTCTCTGACCCTCCACCTTAGCAAACATGATATCCTTCTCCAGCTACTGGTCCCTCCTGACAATATGTCCGAAGTATGAGAAACAAAGTTTGGTCATCTTGGCCTCTAAGGATCACTCTGGCTGCACTTCTTCCAAAACAGATCTATTGGTTCTTTTGGCAGCCCCATGGCACTTTCAATATTCTCCTCCAACACCATAACTCAAAAGCATCAATTCTTCTACGGTCTTCCTTATTCACTGACCAGCTTTCACATGCATATGAGGTGACTGAAAATACCATGGCTTGGGTCAGGTGCACCTTAGTCTTCAAGCAGACATCTTTGCTCGTCAATACTTTAAAAAGGTCTTGTGCAGCACATTTGCCTAATGCAATATGTCATTTGATTTCTTGACTGCTGTTTCCATGAGTGTTGATAGTTAATCCAAGAAGAATTAACTCCCTGACAACTTCAATCTTTTCTCCACTGATAAGAATGTTGTTTATTAATCCAGTGGTGAGGATTTTTATTTTCTTTACATTGAGATGTAATCCATACTGAAGGCTATACTCTCTGATCTTCATCAGTAAATGTTTTAAGTCCTCTTCACTTTCAACAAGCAAGGTTGTATCATCTGCATATCGCAGGTTGTTAATGAGTCTTCCTCCAATCTTGATGCCACGTTTTTCTTCATAGAACCCAGCTTCTTGGATTATTTGCTCAGCATACAGGTTGAATAAGTACGGTGAAATAATACAAACTTGTCTCACACCTTTTTAAATTTTAAACTATTCAGTGTTCCCATGTTCTGTTCTAACAACTAGACAGCATATAATGCAGTGTGATCAGATTGAACATTATAATTTTTGAAAAAAAAAAAATGAATTGAGTAAGATAAACTATCCAATATCTTGTATTTAAATACCATACCTGGATTAGGACTCATTTTATGGGCATATATTAATGCAATTAGAGAAGAAAGTGATACATCTTGTTTATTTTTAATAGCTTCAAATTCTCGAAGAGCTTCTTGAATTTTACCTGAAAATCAGAAAGATTATGATGTGAAAGAGTTCACGATGCAAAGCAAGAAATTAATTTTTTGGTGTTTCCTAATGCACACATACCTTCCATGAGTATGCCATAGGCATGGTAAAACCTGAAGACCGGGTCACTGCCATATCTCTTAATTCCTTCACTGGCAACAATCAGCACATGATGGAAATACCTCTCTTGACAATAGTAATTAATCAAAGTCTGAAAGGAAACAAGGACTAAAAGTTTTAAAAGATTCTGAGGATCTAATAATGGTTTTTGGAATCCTAGTGTGGTGCTCCAGGACAAGCAATGGACTGCTAACCACAAGGTCGGCAGTTCAAACCCACTATACAGGGTTGCGGTGAGTCAGAAACAACTTGACAGCATTTGACAATAATAATAAATGTTTAAAAGCAGATATTAATCTAAAATCTTGAAAAATCTAAAAGTAATGTGGTGTTTCTTTAAATCAAAAGACTTTCCACTTTTTTCCTTTGCCTACCTTCCTTTTCTTAACAATTTTAGAAAATGAAAAAAGAAAAAGGGTCCCATTACTACACTATAGTTTATTATTTTAAAAAATCATCCTTTTTTTCCATTTAACAGTATTTGCTTCTATTTCTTCAATCATGCCTTTTTAATATCTATTTTGAAATAACTAATTTCATTAACAGTTTACTATTAAATATTACCTTAATTATTTTATATCTGAGTCCTGCAACAAATGATTGTCAATAGAAGAAATAATACTATTTTCCAATGGGAAAAAATTGTCTTTAATCTTCTAAAAATCTGTTTCTTAGATTTAAAATGTGGAATAACCTGCTGTCTGGGGATACTAAATTTGATTATGTGGGCCTGTTACTTAACATTTAACACTATTTAGGCTTGGTGGATAATCTAGTCAGAGACAGTCATACTTACACCATCACTATCATACATTTGAGTCACCTTACCGACCCATCAGTCACTCCACAACTACCTAGTGATTCTACAGCTAGTATGAAAAGTGTCCACACTTCTGACAGCTGTCTACACACCTCTGCTCTAGATACAATCTTTTTTTTCTGGATTAGAGCTCAGCAAATTTTTCTGTAAAGGGATTCCAACTTAACGGGCAGACCCTATATGACATAGCAGAACTGCCTAAAAGGAAAGTTTCCAAGACTGTAATACTTTACAGATGCATACTGCCATAGATTTTTGTCCTGCCGAAGGGCTGGTAAATTCCAACTACTAATTTGGTTAGCAGTTGGGCACTTAACCACGATACCACCAGGGCTCCTAGAATAAAGGGTTAGACAGTAAATATTTTAGGGTCTGGAGGCTCTCTAGTCACAACTACTCAATTCTGTTGTATAACTTGGATAACCCAAAAGCCATAGATAATATGTACATATATGGATCTGGCAAAATTCAAACAAAACTTTATTAATGAACACTGACATTGAAATTTCACAAAATTTTAGTGTCATAAAAAGATGATTCTTTTTTCCAATTACTTAAAGATGTTAAAAAGCATTCCTAGCTTATACACCCTACAAAACAGGACAAGGCCTAGATGTGGTCTATGAACCATAATCTGCCAACTCCTGTTCTGGACGTTCGTTCCATTAATTCTCAGCAGTTTCTCATCTTGAAAGCCCAACTCTGACTGTTTCCTATCCCACCCCCTTGTTACTGCTACTACTCTTCTGATTCTTAGTGAAGTTTCCCGAAAGCATGGGTGGTATTTCCATTTTTCAGACGCCATAACTCATCTCAGAAAACTCCCATCTTCCTGCAGTTCTCCATTCACTAAGGTTGCAAATGACTTTCTATTTGACCACATCTAAGGAAACCCTGTACAGGGTCGCTATGAATCGGAACTGACTCCACGGCGCATCACCACCACCACCACCACCATGGACACACTTGGAATTCCGGTGTGGCACTGTAGGTCAGTAATTGAGTCAGAATCGTCCATTTCCTTAGGCCCAAGCCCCTTAAATTTAATCTGCCACTAAGAGATTCCGATTTACAGTGACCCTCCTTTATAGGATTTCTGAGGCTAGCGTAGTGGTTATGAATCGGGCTGTGAACAGCAAGGTCAGCAGTTCGCAACTACTAGCTGCTGTGAGGAAGAAAGACGAGGCTTTTTACTCCCGTAAAGATTTACAGCCTTGGAAACCCTATTTTGGGTCGCTATGGGTCGGAACCGACTCGATGGCACTTAACAATAACAACAACAAACTTTTACCGGAGCAGAAAGTCTCGTCTTTCTCCTGCAGAGAGGCTGTTTGGTTCGAACTACAGACACAGACCTTGTGGTCTGCAGTCCAGTGCTTATCCCACCGAGTCACCGCACGCCAACCAGTCACTTGTTGTTGTTAGGTGCCATCGAGTCGGTACATGTAAACCTGTGCTTATTGGATTTTGTTTTCCTATATGCGTTCCCTGTTTCTTTCCCTATTAAATGGGAAGCGGGCACTAGTTTCCTGTTGTTGCTGTTGTTGTTAATCAGTTTTACTCATAGCGATCCTGTGCAGGGTTTTCGGAGGAGCTGCTGATGGGTTTGAACTACCAACCTTGTGGTTCGTAGTCCAGTACAGACCCTACAGCGCCATACCAGGAGCCCTTCAAAATGTCATCCCCATGTGCCATGGGTGTAGAGCGTTACAGAGAAGTCCTACACAACGAACAGCATTTCAGGAAGTAACGCGCCCACCACTACCTGGACCTCCAGACCCCACAAAAGGGACTCGCAGAGCGGACTTGGTTAGGAGAGCCCACAGAGCGGCCGGAGACGCCCACACACACCACAATACTAAAGGCCTCGCGAAAACTACCCTCTCTTCAAGCTCTGTCCCGCCGGCACCCCCAGGGCCCGCCAGCTTACCTGGAGCCCCAGCGAGTCCATGGCGGCCTCAGAACGGCCTCCCCGCAGCCCAGAATCAGAGCCCGGGCGCACGGCTCCGAGCTGAGGCCCAGACCCACCTCGAGCTCTGGGACGCGCTGTCATTGGCTGCTGGCGGGAGTGGGCGGGCCTTTGTTGCAGGGATTGCGGGCGGGGAGATCCGGAGGGAGGCCTGCAAGGGCGCCGTCGGGAGGGCAGACCCTGGGGTCGGGGTGCTATAGCACAGTGGGGATGGAAGAGGAGTTCAAACAGAATTGGACCTAGAGAGAGAATGGGCAGGCGATCTGAGGCTAAGAAATAAAGGAAATGAAAGAGGAAATAGAAGGAGGGCAAAACTGTTTCCCATCATGGACTACAAAGAAAGACACCATTTTCTGCTCGTTTGTGTTGAAAGCGATTCCCGCAATGCGGGTATGCGAAGGCTTGACCAGCGCGTGAAAAAAATCCTTGAACTTGCACGTGTAATCTTTGCAGTATGGCCACAAGGTGGCGCAGAAAAATCACAATTCCTAACAGAAATGCGAATAAGTTCTCAGGCCCATCTTTGCAAGAATTGTTGCAATCCTTTGTTGTTAGAATCCGTACTAAATTCGCCCGTTTTTACCAGTCCTGATAATGGAGGGATAAATGAGATAAGCATAGTCTTACTGGATTTTGTTTGATACTACTGATTTTAAAGAAAGTAAAATGACTCCCTGTGCAAACGTTGTTTGTATCCTTCAGGCAACTCTCAGCTGCGCACAGATTTTTTTTCAGTTGTTTAAAAATTAAATTGGAATATGATGGACTAGAGATTTCCTACTTATGCTTGAGATTTTTTAGTAGTGGAGAAATGTTGCGATTTAAGTGATTTTTTGTAGATTCTTATGCATGTATTCCAATTTCTGATCTCAGTGTTACTATATTTTAAGTTACCTTACCCGATTTTAAGGACTCAGTGAATTTTTTTTCTATGCCAGTAGATTATATACAAGTTCCCTGCTTGATAACGCAAAAAGGTTTGTGCTGGACTTCTGGTGTAACGCTGCGCATCAGCACAGGTCTGAGAACCACAAGGTTAGCAGTTCAAATCCACCAGTTGCTCCTCGGAAACCCTGTACAGGATCGTTCTGAATTGGAACCGACTAACAGCAGTTAACAACAAAAACAAGCGTAATAGTAGTTCAAACTTATCCAGCGGTACGTGGAAGGAAGGCTAGTGATCTACTTCTGTAAAGATTCCTATTAAGAAAGCACTGTGGAACCTTTCTACTCTGTAACAAAGCACTAGGAAACAGACTCAACTCAGTGGCAACAGGTTTTTATGGGCTTACTTTATGTATTCCATGGTCTACAGTGATACACATGGTGTTGCCATGAGTCAAAATCAATGACAGTCTTGAAGGACAGCCTGGCCACTAACCCAGGCTTCAAGGCAAAGCAATATTTTTCATTTATTTCCTTTGGTAGTACATTCAACCCAAAGAAGCGCATACATATTATCTTCATAAAAACAGTTTTGGTGTTTCCAACATTCATGTTATTGTTGTGAGGTGTTATCAAGTGGATTTTCTGCTCTTAAAGGGTAACCTCATGTGACAGTGTAGAATTGCTCCATAGGATTGCTATTATTATTTGCTGTAATCTTCATGGAAACAGATCAGCACGTCTTCCTCCTGTGGGTTGCTCCTGTCATCCTTTTGGTTAGCAGTTGAGTGGTTAAACCATTCAATGACCAGGACTCCTTCCAACATTCATAGTCAAGCTAAGTTTGTGGTGATGGACAGTTGGTAATAACTATTGGTCTGACTTTAAAGCATGTGGATTAATCTGCACTGAGTATGTAGTAGAAAACATCAACAATCTCAACAATCCCAGCATACAACTCAAGATCATGCAACAAAAATATGTGCTCTTGAGTTGTATGCTTCTGGATCTAGGGAAAAGCTCATCTGGAGGAAAATATCTATGGCTCATAGCTTAAGAAATACACACACACACACAGACACATATATATGATCAACCTATCTCTCTTTGAGCTTATAGTCTAAACTCAGTTCCTACAATTTGCTTCTTTTAGACCACTGTCTAAAAGGAGCTCTGGTAGCGTAGTGGTTACAAATCAGGCTGCGAACCTTAAGGTCAGCAGTTTGAAACTACCAACTGTTCTGCGGGAGAAAGATGAGGCGTTCTGTTCCCGGAAAGATTTACAGCCTTGGAAACCCTGTATAGGGTCACTATGAGTCGGTTCCGACTCCACGGCAGATAATGCTTTTTGTTTTTAAAATGGCATGGCAGTTTGGGTATCTGATAGCTAAGAACTTCAGACATCAGGTAATTTACTTACTGCTCACCTGAACTATCAGGTGTAATAAAAGTTTTTCTCAAATATCATAACAAAGATTCACCAAGACAGTTATTTTTCTTGTTTTTCTTGGCTAGATCTTGACATTTCATCTCTGCCAAGTAGGAGAGAACACAGAAAAATATTTTTTAAATGAGTCTGGTATATAGAATGAAATATTTACATGTTTATAACTGTGATAATATAGAATATTTTTTAGATAAGATATTATATGTTTTTCTTACCATTTCTTTAAGAATTCTTTGCTGGTTGCTGGAATAAGATTTGTATTAATTCACCCTCTGTCTAGTGTAACATTAAAATAGTACCTTATTTTTTATTTTAATTAGTCCAAATTCACATTAAAAAAAAATATTACCCAATGTCAAATTCACATTACATATCTTCCTAGACACTGTTTTATTTCTGGATGTGAAGTAACTGGAACTCCACTCAAATTTTCATTTTGAAGTTGAGAAAAATCAGACCTTAGCTTTCAAGGTGTCTGATTCTTGATAACTTAGTTTATAGCAGCGCTTATAGCTGGCATTAACATTTCTTAGATGCAATGCACACCGATGTAAAGGATGAGTCTGCAAAAATGAAGGAATCAACAGAGATTTCACACCCAGTACAGGTGACGTTTTGCAGACTGTCACATTCTAGTGAACACCTGCCTGTATATCATATCCAGTTGTTCTCACATGTCTTTCCAACTCAGTTTACCCATCGGTCACTGTCTTCCCTGCATTCATTTCGAAATCTGCGTACTAATAGCCACTTTGTGCAACACAGTGCCCCACTGATTTACCTCTTCCGAGCCTGTCATTCTGACTTGCTCACTTAAATACCTTTTATGCTGCCAGTTCCCATCATCTGCAAGGAATTTGGGCAGAAGTTCGACACAGTACACACTTAACGCTGACTCCAGCAGCATTCCCCTCAACCCAGTGAAGGCGTGAAGACTCCGTCTCACATCAGGCCAAGAACCTTCCCATTCACAGAATGCTGTGCAGTTGCATACCGTCAAGTTGATTTAGACTCCTTAGCAACCTCATAGGGTTTTCGAGGCTGCACTCTTTATAGGAGCGAACCTCCATGTCTTTCTCCCATAGAACTGCTTGGAGGGTTTGAACTGTCATCCATCCAGTGAGTTGTAACCATTACACTACCAGGGCTCCTTACGCAGAGGTTAGGTTCTTTCTAATGGCCGGAGGGATTGTCTTTTCCTCATCCAAAAGAATATAAGAATCTAAGCTTTCTCTCTTCACAATGGTATCTTCCTTGCTGGAGTCACTGGGTGATGGGAAAGAGTACTGTACTGGGCTATTAACTGAAAGATGAACGGTTCAGCATCTTGAAAGAAAGGCCTGATGAT